GGTTTAGGGGTCTAGGGTTTTCGGGTTTTAGGGTTTAGGGTTTAGGGTTTGTAGGGTTTAGGGTTCAGGGTTTAGGGTTTAGGGTCACCTCACGCAATAGGTTAGGGGTCTGAGGTTTGAAAGTTTGGGGCCGCTTAAGGCTTTCGACAGTGCGTGGGAATGCAAGTTGGTTCAGAGTAGATGCCTTGGTTTCGGGCTTAAGGTTTCAAAAACCTTGGAGCCTTAGTAGAAGTTCTGGTTGTTATAACCCGTCGGCTTGAAACTATGGTCAGAACGAGCACAGGTAGTAAGGAAAATTCATGTCTGAGGAGAGGCCAGAGAGACATGACAGTTAGGGTTCAGGGTGGAATCGGGCAAAAAAGGCGAGATGAGCTCGGGAGCGTTCACGGACCCTAAACCCTAACCCCCTAAACCCTAAACCCTACATGGCTTAAACCTTACCTGCAACCGCAGACCCTACAAACCGGAAGCAACACCGAGTCAGAGTCCGTTTTTAGGGTTTAGGGTTTAGGGTTACTCCTGCGCGAGTCGGCAAACGTCCTACTGTAAGTAACTTGACCCCCTCACCCTAAACTCAAATCCCGAAACCCTGTAGTGAAATCCCGATACCAAATAGCCGCAATATTTCCGTGCATCGACAATGCCCCTGAACCCTAAACCCTAAACCCTCAACCCTAAACCCTACGCCCTAACCCCTGAACCCTAAATCCTAAAACACCTAAACCGTGGCCAAGTCGCGACATAAAAAGCTGCCATCCAACGACGCAGCGGTTTCCTGGGAGCACAAACCCTGGAAAGGATGATTCCAGACAAGAAAATTAGGGCTTAGGCCCTAAACCCTAAACCCTAAACCCTAAACCCTAAACCCTAAACCCTGAACCTAGGAAACCCAAAGGCTCCCTGTATCTTTATAGTAGTTACTTAAGCCTTCAAAGGGGTCGCTATATCAGTAATTTCGGGCTTAAGTAACTACTGTACTACTGTACTATAAAGGTACATTGGAAGTTAAACATGAGCAAGCCCAAACCTTGAACCCTAAACCCTAAACCCTAAACCCTAAACCCTAAACCCTAAACCCTAAACCCTAAACCCTGAACCCTAAACCGTAAACCCTTAAACCCTAAACCCTAAACCCTAAACCCTAAACCCCTAAACCTTAAACCCTAAACCCTAAACCCCTAAACCCTAAACCCTAAACCCTAAGCCCTAAACCCCTGGGAGTCTCTTTGGAGTCGGTAGTGCACCTCACAATGCTGAAAGAAATGGGCAGCGTTCAGCTGCTTCCTGGTGGTTTAAGGTTTAGGGTCTAGGGGTTTAGGGTTTAGGGTTTAGGGTTTAGGGGCTAGGGGTCTAGGGGTCTAGGGGTTTAGGGTTTAGGGTTTAGGGTTTGGGGTTTAGGGTTCGGGGTTTTGGGTTTAGGGTTTACGGTTTGGGGTTTACCCTGAGTCACTGAGGGTCCCTGTACCCAAATAACATCTAAATAGGGACTACTTTAACTCCAAAGTATAAGCTATTTGGGTACATGGACCCTCAGGGTTTAGGGTTTAAGGAACTTCGTCTACTCCACGTACCTTATGCCGTGGGGCTTAGACTTTAGACCGGTGTTCTTTGTCTCAGGGCGTGTATTTATTATGATTCGGCTCAAACCCTAAACCAGAAAACCATACCCCTAAGGGTCCATGTACCCAAATAGTATATACTTTGGCCTTAATGTAGTCCCTATATAGGTACTTGGGTACTAAACCCTGAACCCTAAACCGTACTTACGGCAGCTTAGCCCCCAAACCCTAAACTGCCGGAATCGCTCCGTCGGCTGCAGGTAAAGTAGTGGGGCCCCACGGTTCTCTAGGTTTAGGGTTCAGGGTTTAAGTTTTTTTTTTGTTAAAGTGTAGTGGCCTTTTCTGTGCTTTAGGGTTTAGGGTTTAAGGTTTAGGGTTTAGTAAACCCCTTAACAACAAGGCTACCCTTGTTCCTAACATTCGGTTTAATAAGGGCGCCCCAAAATTAAGAGGGCAAAAGGGTACTACTCAGGAACCTAGTTCTTAAGAAGGTGTTTGCGGCTTGGAGCTTACGGGTTAGAGTCTTGCGTTCTTGCAGGGAATATGTGACACGCTGAAAAGGCGGTGAGGAGCGCTAGCTGGTGGTAGAGTTGTGTTGGGAGCCAAAGACTGCAAAACGATTTGTTTAGGGTTTAGGGTTTAGGGTTTAGGGTTCAGCAGACTAGAGCTACAGTACATACTCACATTTTACATTGCAGCGGGTCTCTTGTGAGCTGCAGCAGGTCTCTTGCGACCTGGAAGCACCATTGCCTTGGCCTTTGCCGTGGCTTTGGCCTTTGCCTTGGCCTTGGTCTTGGCCGTGGGCTTTGCCTTTGCCTTTGCCTTGGCCTTTGCCTTGGCCTTGGTCTTCGACTTGGGCTTTGACCTGGGCTTGGCCCTGGCCTTTGCCCTCTTAGCTTGCGCCGTGGCCTTCGCCTTCGCGGCACGTGCACGGGCAGCTTCAGCCAAAGCCTGGGAAAGAATCTGGTCATCCTCCTGAGATCGGCCCAGCTGCTCTTTGACTCGCCTACTGTCACCGCCCAATTCTGGGCATCCCCAAGTTACGACAGATCCATCAGCCCTGATAGCAGCAAAGGCTGAATCGTTGGCTTGGATGCAAGTGACGTTTTTCAGTTGCCCTTGCACCGCACCTGTGCAACCTCCGCTTCGCGCTGCGCCCCAAGCAACCACTGATCCATCTTCCCGTAGAGCAGCGAAAGCATGGGAGGTGGCCTGGATGGCTTTGACATTCTGCAACTGGCTCTGAACTGCTCTTGCATCTGCCGCCCGCTTGTCTCCCCAGGTGACCACTGTCCCGTCGGAGCGTAATGCAGCGAATGCAAGAGATGAAGCCTGAATCTGCACAACATTCACCAGCTGATGCTGGACGAGCTTGCTGTCATCACGACCGAGTCGCCGGCCCCATGTCACCACGGTTCCATCCTTGCGAAGAGCAGCGAAAGCCAAGTAGTCCTTAACGCCACACACCTGTACGCACGAAACCTCTCCCATGTTCCGAAGCGCAGCAGCATCTAGAGACAACGACTTGCTCCAGCGTCCATGAGGTCCCCAGGCCGCGAGCTGCCCATCCTTGTTCACTGCCGCCCAGGAAGTTCCGCAACCCTGAAACTGATCCACATCTTGCAGCATGGTGTTGCATATCTCCGGTACCATCTCATTCACACCAGCATCCAAAAACCCCCAGGACACCACGTGGCCACTTGCAGTAATAGCACTGAAACCATCTCCGCAGCCCTTAATGTGCACGACGTCCTTGAGCTTGCTTTGCACATGTTGACTACACCCGCCCAGGTCTTCCTCCCCCCACGTCACCACAGTGCCGTCGCTGCGAAGGGCGGCAAAGGCAAAGTCTGCTGCCTGGGCGTAGAGACTTCGAGCTTATAAGGAATTAGGGTTTAGGGGTTTGGGGTTTAGGGTTTAGGGTTTAGTCTTTACAGTTTAGGGGTTAGAGGCTTCGGGCTTAAGGAATTAAGGGTTCAGCTCAGGATTTGGGTTTATGTAATGTAAGGGCTTCAGTAATCATGTCAGTATTTCTATTCTTTTTTGGGGTACATTCTAGTATAATTACAATCTATATATATATATATGTATACTAAGGGGATGCTAAACCCTCAGCCTTAAACCCTGGTACTAAAGTAAACCTTCCGACCCATCTTTGATTAAGGTTTTCAAACCTTCTAAGCATGCCTCAACTCAGGAAACTACTTTAAGTCAAAGGGTTGAGGCTTCCTTTTGAAACCCTAAACCCTAAACCCTTAACCCTAAACCGTTCCTTTAATGGCTCTTTTAAGGGATCTGTGGGGTTGAGGGCTTGAGGAACAGACCTTCCAACATCTCCTAAATTCAGGAGGATACCTTGAGTCATAATACTGGGATGCTACAATAATGGCTTAGGGTTTAGGGTTTAGGGGTTTAGGGTTTAGGGGTTTAGGGTTTAGCGTTTAGGGTTTAGGGTAGTAATAGTCTAAGCCCAGAGAGCCCAATACCCCGCAAATAAGCAACATCGCTTAAATCCTAATATGACGCCCCTTATAGTTTAAGCTATATTCCTTAATCAAGCTGTATTGGGCTCTCTGGGAGGTACGCACCTGAATTAAGGGATATTGGAGGGTCTGGATTTGAAGGTGTCGAAGACGAGAGGTTTAGGGTTTAGGGCACCTGTCTACAGACTCCAATAAGAAATAAATATCATCTGAGGGGTCCTACTAAAGTTTAAGGTATGCCTCAAACCTAAACCCAAACCCCAAACCCTAAACGCCCTTTTTCCTACTATTTGGTTTTAACAAGGGAGCCCAAAAAGAAAAAGGGCAAAAACCCTAAACCCTAAACCCTGAACCCTAAACCCAAACCCTAAACCCCAAAATCAAGGGATATTAAAATAAAGTAAGGAAGATTAAAAGTAAGGGATATTTTCAGTTTTTGACTGCCTGGATGAGCCGCACATTGTGAAGCTGGTCACGCACCTGACTTAGGGCTTCCTGGATGGAGTTTATAGGGTTTTAGGGTTCGGGATAAGGGTTTTAGAGGTTAGGGTTTTGGGTTTTAGGCTTCGGGTTTAAGATTTTAGGGTTTAGGGTTTTAGGGATTTTCTATGGCTTTAGGGTTGGGGTTAGGGTTTAGAGCTTTAGGGTTTTAGGGTTTAGGGTATAGGGTCAGGGTCTACCTGGACACCAAATAGACCTGCCTTCGCAGGGTTCCATAGTATGATTTATTTGTAGATGTGGTTATGTAGGGTGAAAGTTAGGGTTGAGGCAGTTTCCGGTATAAGGCTTTCAATAGTTTAGGGTCTCAACATTTGGGTTTAAGGGATCATGCACCTCACTGCTGTCTCCGCCAGCATCGAAATCACCCCAGGTAGTCACAGACCCGTCTTCTTTGATAGCCGCAAATGCATATCTTGTTGCTTGGATCTGTCGCACATCACGAACTTCGTCCGGGATATCAGATTCAAAAGAAGAGAACCAATCTTCATCTTCGGGTTGCTGCTCTTTGCCCCATGAAACTACCACTCCGTCCTCTCGGAGGGCAGCAAAGCCTGACTCGGCAGCCTGAATCTGCAGCACGTTATGCAATTTGTGTTGCACTGCACTGCTATCACCACCACAATTAAAACAACCCCATGTCACGACGGAGCCGTCTGCCCGGATGAGAGCAAACGCTGACGCAGATGCTGCCACGGCCACAGCCTGGGTAACGGCCGTGATGGTGTCGCCATTCTGCACTCCGGATTGTGCCAAGGTGCCAGATCCGCCTAACAGCCTTCCAGATGCACTGATAATTTTCCCCAAAGGTGTTTGCAAAGCCCTCTGTGCCGTCTGCTGCAGGTCTGCCGCAGTCGCATCTCCAGGCAAGGTAACTGTTGCGTGGGTGCCACTGAGAAGGGTCACTGTGACAGAAATAGACATGGCCCGCGCAGAAGTACCGAATGTTACAACAAAACTAAACCGATGTTACCACACTCTGCAACTCAGAACAATGAAAGAAATCCTGGACCCTAAACCCTAAATCCTACACCCCAAACCCTAAACCTAAACACGTCTTCGAAGCATTTGTTGTTTTTTGAACGAAGGCTTCCTCGAATCTTCCTGCAATCACGCGCAGCCCATGCTCTGAACCCAACAATGGGTTTGGGGGTTTAGGGTGTTAGGGTTTAGTAATTTAAGGTTTTAGGGTTTAGGGGTTTAGGGTTTTAGGGTTTAGGGTTTAGGGCTCTGCGGTTTAAGGCTTAGGGATTTTAGGGTTTTAGGGTTTTAGGGTTTAGGGTTTAGGGTTTCTATAGTGCAGAAACATGAACTATAAGGGCAGAGTTGTGGGGCATAGATGCTACAATACGGGCGGGCAATTCTATACAGCCATCATGAGCCCTTGCAAGACCCTGGTAACAAGACAATCAACAAATAAGCGACTGACCAAATCCGATGAACACCGTAGTTCTATTTCCGTATACAGGCCGATAATGAACCATTACTCATGAACGATTTGGAACTTGGCTTCAAGAGGGACTTGGGTTCAGAAGGTCTGGGCTTATGTAAGACCGAGATTTGAGGGTTTGGGGTTTCGGTAGGTTCTTCAGTGTTGGTGTTGGCGCCCGATTTTGCGGTTTGGGGTTTTGGGTTTACTGCTTGTGTTGAAAGGGTGCCCTAAACCCTAAACCCTAACTCGGGTGACATTAGTTTTGGGGCTGAGGGCTCTCGGATGGCATGAGACCTTGCCACACGCTGCCTCTCTCTTGGTTTTAGGGTTTAGGGTTTAGGGTATCCTGTCCCTACCCTTGCTCCGGGCATTTCCCATGAAGACACCAGATGTAGACACTCCTCTTGCGCCGTCAGTTCCAGAAGGCATCAGGTTCTAGTAACAGCATGGTACCCAAGACTTGTATGGTGTGCTGTTTCACTAATAACTGTGCGATAGGTCGTCGGAAGTGGTGGCTTCTACACGGCTTGAACCAAGGTTCAAGCTTCGGGGTTTTAATTAATAAAGTGGCCGTAGATCAGGAGCTTCCAGTACGTAGCTTGCAGGACCCCGATACAGCTAAACCCTAAGCCCCAAACCCTAGACAGGACAACCCCTAAACCTCAAACTTCGGGGAACCCTAAACCCTAAAACCTAAACCCTAAACCCTAAACCCTAAACAGCAGTTCCTTTCGTGCTTTCTGGGTCGGGAGCATGCCAGGGGAGCTGTGGCTCTGGCCCCGAAAACCCCACGTCGCAGTGTTTGGCGTAGGGGCTCGAGGGGTTTGGGGTTTAGGGTTTAGAGGTTTAGGGCTTGGGGTCTAGGGTTTAGGGTTTAGGGTTTAGGGTTTAGGGTTTAGGGGTTTAGGGGTCTAGGGTTCCGGAGTTCAGGGTTTAGGGTTTAGGGTTGAGGCAGATCAAAGCCGAATGGTGCCGGGAAGGGACCTTCGATTTCTGGTCTGCGCCAGGCGACCAGAGCCCCGGAAGCTAAGTCCTACGGTTCAAGGTTTAGGGTTTCGGGTTTGGGGGTTTGGGGCTTTATGGAATTAGGGTTTAGGGGTTTCGGGTTTAGGACTTCGGGGTTAAAAGTTAAGCGTTTAGAGTTCGCTTGAACCTGTTCCCCTGGCTACTTAGTTGCCGCTGCAGCTGCCTCGATGTGTTCTGAAGTTCGGGAGAAACCAATGAGGCGGACACACGTTATTTGATGGAATCATGGCTCCTATGCCCGAAAACAAGATCCAAAACATCGAAGAACGTGTGAGTGCGTCTCTCTCTCTCTCTCTCTGTATGTATATATATATATATATACATACATACATACATACATACATACATACATACATACATACATACATATGCGCATGATGTGTATATCATGTGTATAAAGAGAGGTATGTGTGCTTATGCTATTTATATATATATATATATACACAAAGTTAATGTGTAGATATATACACATACACATGGACGCAGTCCTTCAGAACCAAACGTGAACTCAGCATAGCTCAGAAAAGTAACCCTAAACCCTAAACTCTAGACCCCTAAACCCTAAAGCTTAAAAGCTTGCCGTCCAAGACTCCATGGGAGGTTCGACTGGATGAGTATGAGAGACCCGGAACTTCCTGCTTACTTTGGGTTTAGGGTTTAGGGTTTATTACTTTGGGTTCAGGGTTTAGGGTTTACGGTTTAGGGTTTATTACGTTGGGTTCAGGGTTTAGGGTTTAGGGTTTAGGGTATTACTACTTTGGGTTCAGGGTTTAGGGTTTAGGGTTTAGGGTATTATTACTTTGGGTTCAGGCTTTAGGGTTTAGGGTTTAGGGTTTATTACTTTGGGTTCAGAGTTTGGGTTTGGGGAATCATGCTTTCTTTGAAGGGCTCCTGTAAGGAATACTGTAGGTTTAAGGACCTAAGGGGGTGGGTTCGGGGTTTGGGATTTAGGAATTGGCAGATAGGGTCGAAAAGGGTGCAAGATGGTTTGGGGTTCAGGGTCTGCAAGCGTTCAGGGTCTAAAGAGGTTCAAGGCAATGGCTTCTTGGGTTCAGGGTCGATAAGCATTCAGGGTCTAAAGGGTTTAAAGGCATTGGCTTCTTGGGTTCAGGGTCTACAAGCGTTCAGGGTCTGAAGGGGTTAAAGGCAATGGCTTCTTGGGTTAGACCCAAAACCCAAAACCCTAAACCGTGGTACAATTTAGGCTTATAGGGCTTAGGCTTCGGGCTTCTAAGATTCGTGGCTTTCGCTTAGGCCTTAGTTCTACTTGGAGGTCCATGGGACTTAGTAAGTAGATGCGGTCATCTCCACGGGGGACCTTTGCGGCAGCTGTGTCAATGTGGTGACCAAGAAGTGGAATTGCAATTGATCATTGCTTGTCGGTGATGCCCTTCTGTCTGCGGGCATTCGTGAGCCATTCAAGCTCACCGTAGGTCAGCTCCTGCGGAAGGACAGTTATGATGCACTTGATTGCGGCTGAAATGTCAATCCCAACAGGGTGTGCTGCGTGTTCATCAATGTCATCCCCTAAGGGTCCATGTACCCAAATAGTAGAACATTGGCCTTAATGTAGTCCCTATATAGGTACTTTGGGGCCAATATTCTACTATTTGGGTACATGGACCCTTAGGGATCATCAATGTCAGCCCACAGGGTTCCTCTGAGAGAAACAGCCTCTCTCGGAGCGTAGTCACGGGGTTCCTCTCAGAGAAACAGGATGGCCACAGTCGCTGAGAACTGCGGCACGCTGGGCGACCCAAATGGCGGCAAACTCAGTAATCCACTGGGCCGCCCTCACGACTGGTCTGTGTGCCTTCCCCTCCTTGTACCCAGGGCTGAGGTCAAGTTATAAGTACCTTAATTGGGGTTATAAGTAAATATAAGTATAGTTACCTTGTTTATAACCATAGTTACTAAGTCCCATGAGCCGACAGGACCCGAAACCTTGCCCTATTCCACAACACCCTGAACACCAAATCCTCCGTTTGAAGAACCTTCCAGTCACCATGCGCGCTAGACCCCAACCGTTGGGTCTCAAAGATTGACCTGTTGGTTGCTCTTGCGATTTAGTAGGGACCCTTGTTGAAACCCATATTCGCGGCTACAAGCCCGACACCAGCATTTATTAAACCCTATAACTATCATGGAACATAAACGACACTAAAGAGTACACTACCTAAAGTACACTACCTAGAATGAAGGAAGGCACAAGTCCTTACAAGTTTCGTAAAAAACCACCAATTTTGCAACCCTGATTGAGGGATAATCCCTTGGCACCAAGTCTTAAACCTAAACACCCTTAAACTTACACCTCGAACTCTAAACAAAAACCTCAAAACCTAAACCCTAGACCCTAAACCCTAACCCCTAAACCCTAAACCCTAAACCCTAGACCCACAGAACGCCTAAAGTGCATTAACCAACCTGCAAAGAACCCAAATCCTGAACCCCCTTGAGCCCCGCAAGTCACAGGTCAGTTTAGGGTTTAGGGGATGACGCTTTAGGGTTTAGAGATTTATGGTGTAGAGTTTAGGGTTTACGGTGTAGAGTGTAGGGTTTACGGTTTAGGGTTGAATGGTTTAGGGTTTAGGGTTTTGGGGTTTAAGGGTTTACGGTTTAGGGTACCCTAAACCCTAAACCCTGAACCGGGGTGTAGGGCCTCTCTTCATCTTCGAACTGTTCCGGGTCTTCTTCTTCACCAGGAACCTGCCAGAGCTTTGCGCGCAGCATTCTAAGGCCCTCAGGGTCCACGTACCCAAATAGTATACTTTGGGCATTTAAAGGCTCCCTTAAAAGGATTCCTTTAAGGGTTCCTTTTAAGGGATTCTATAAGGGTACTATCCGGGTTTGGTTTTAAGGGTCCATGGACTCAAACAGTATATACATTGGCCTTAAAAGTACCTAGATCGGGACTACATTGAAGCCAAAGTATATTATTTGGGCACATGGACCCTTAGGGAGGTTTTTGGGGCCTTGATCAGAGCTAAAGCAAAAGTTTAATGGGGTTGTGCAATTGACCCTACAACCCTAAACCCGAAACCCTTTAAACCGTACACCCTAAACCTAAACCCTAAACCCTAAACCCTGAAACTCTAAACCCTAAACCCCCAGACCCTAAACCCCTAAACCCAAAAACCCCTAAACCCTAAATCAGAAACCGTGGGAAAAATGCAAAAAATATCCTCAGATCCTTGGAGCGTCTCTAGGGGTTTGGAGCTTTTGGGGTTTAGGGTTTAGGGTTTAGGGTTTTCAGGGTTCAGGGTTGAGGGGGTCTAGGGGGTTTTAGGTGGTTTAGGGCTTTCGGGGTTTAGGTTTCAGGGTTTAGGGTTTTCGGGGTTTAAGGTTCAGGGTTTGGCATTCAGAACGGTGCTCTTCGGGTTCTAGAACTAAGGTTTAGGCAGTAAAAGTAGAGCTCCAAGTATGCACATAGTACCTGCTTTGGGTCTGAAGTTTGTAATAAGTATATATATATATATATATATATATACATACACCTATATATCTCCTGAAGACGGTAAGGACAATATGTATAAGTTCCTGAACACGCACCCAATTAAGGGTCAAAACATATGCAGTTAAGCAAACAACCATTCCATGGGATGATGCAAGTTCTCACGATCCGTTAGGAATACAAGGGGGGGGTGCTTTGAGGCCTTGGGGACTTCCGTGGTCAATGAACAACAAATGATCAAGAGTCTCAAACGGGCTGTAAATGGTTGCAGAGAGAAGGCAAGCACCAATCGGGCATCAGAGAACCCAGCACAACCTGATCACTTCGTGTTCATGTTTAGGGTCTAAACCCTAAACCCTAAACCCTAAACCCTAAACCCTAAATTTAGGGTCTAGGTTTGTTGTTGAACACCTTTTCTGCGAAGCCCCGAAGGGTCTCTAGAGGCACGCAAGGCCAGGACAGTCAGGACCACGGTTTTCGGTTTGGGGTTTAGGGGGTTTAGGGGGTTTAGGGGGTTTAGGGGGTTTAGTTTAGGGTTTAGGGTTTAGGGTTTAGGGTTTAGGGTTTAGGGTTTAGGGTTTAGGGTTTAGGATTTAGAGTTTAGGGTTTTGCCTTGTAACCTGTATTGAAGGTAGCCTTGTCGGCTACATATTTCGTTCCTTCCTGAGCTTCAAAAAAATATGCGGACGCTGACCTAGAGCCTAAACAGTCGAATTTGCCTTGTAAAGTTTAAACTTCAACATCCCTAAATCAGGTAGATACCTATTTCGCCTTATAGGAACCCTTGAAAAATAATTAAAGCTGATGACAAGCTGGTTTGGGCTTTCGAAATCTTTGATGGCAGGGGTGAGTGTTGAATCAGAGGGCAGGGCGTTTGGGCTGTTGATCAGAAACCAGGTCAGAAAATGAATGGTCTAAGAACTGTGAGAACCCTCATTCGGAGCAACTACCCCCTAAACCCTAAGCCCTAAACCCGAAATCCTAAACCCTACACCCTAAACCTCTAAACCCTAAACTCTGAATCCTGAGCCTAAACCGTTGCTAAGGGGAGGGCTTCTGGAACAAGGTCGCGTGAATTTGTTGTTTAGAGGTTTAGGGTTTAGGGTTTGGGGTTTAGGGTTTAGAATTTAGGCTTTAGGGTTAGGTCGCGTACATGTGTTCCTCAAGGCCCATATATGCAAAAGTCATCCAAGTGGCCGAAAAACGCTCCATGAAAAGAGCAATTGGCACCTTAGCTGCTGAAGACTTCGAACTACTAGGGTTGATGGTATAAACCCTGCATTAGCCATAATAAGCAATATACCATACTTCTCATAGTTTAGGGTCAGTTTAGGGTCCTTAAGGTAATGCAGGATTTAGATCATCAACAGCAGCTAGGGCTTAGGCCGTATGACGGCTTAGGGCTCAGGGTTTAGGGCTTTACGGTTTGGGGTTAAGCGTTACGTACAAGGCTTTGGGCTTCTATGCTTGAGCTTCCGTGCCACCGCGTCGCGCCTCTGTCTAACTACCCTGACACGCTGAATAGCCCATGATCAATTGCGGAGTAACTTAAACCATTTAAACCCTAAACCCTAAACCCGAACCCAAAGCCTTGCCGTAGGTAGTGTTTCCATACTTTCAGTCTCAATAGAAGCCGCGACCGTGGAGACGGACAGCTACTTTAGGGTTTAGGGTTTAGGGTATAACATTATTCATCCCCCAAACACAAAGGCCAGAAAACCCAAAACTCCAAATTTATACTTGGGGGCCTGGGTTTAGGGTTTATAAAGTTGAGGGTTCCTAATCATTGTACTTGGGGGCCACCCTAAAGCCTAAACCCTAAGCCCTAAACCCTAAACCCTAAGCCCTAAACCCTAAGCCCCAAGCCCTAAACCCAAAGCCCTGAGCC